GTGGATTTCTGGACTCTCCATTCTGTTCCATTTATCTCTGTCCATTCTTCTGCTAATGCCATATTGTTTTGATTACTATAACTTTGCAGTATAGTTTAAAACCAGGGAATGTGATACCACCAGCTTCATTCTTCTTTCTCATGATTACTTTGGATATCTAGGAACTTTTGTGGTTTCATACAAATTTTAGTATTTGTTTTACTTCAGTTAAAAATGCTATAGGTGTGTTGATAGAGATTGCATTTGTTTACTTCTTTGGATAGAATGGCCACCTTAACAGTATTAATTCTTCCTATCTGTGAGCATGGAATATTTTTCCATTTACTTGTGTTGCCTTATTTATTTTATCAATGTCGTATGCTTTTCAGAGTACAGGTCTTTCACCTCCTTGATTACATTTATTCCTAGGTATTTTATTCTTTTGATGCAATTGTACATCAAAACAATTGATTTAATTTATTTGTATATAGAAATGCAACAAACTTCTGTATACTGATTTTTGTATTCTGTGACTTTACTGAGGTCATTTATTCTTAAAAGTTTTTTGAAGGAGTGTTTAGGGTTTTCTATGTATAGTATCAAGTCATCTCCAAATAGTGACAATTTTACTTCTTGCCAACTGGGATGTCTTTTCTTTTTATCTGATTTCTATAGCTAGGACTTCTAGTACTATGTTGAATGCAAGTGGTGAGAATGGGCATCCTTGTCTTGTTCCTGATCTTAAAGGAAAAGCTTTCAGCTTTTCACCATCAAATATGATGTTAAGTGTGGGTTGCCATAAGTGGCCTTTAGTATGTTCTGTGTTCCCTCTATACCCACTTTGTTGAGTTTTTATCAGGAATGAATGCTGAGTTTTGTCAAATGCATTTTCATCATCTTTTAGGATGATTATATGGTTTTTATTCCTTTCTCCTGTTAAAGTAGTGTATCATATTGACTGATTTGTGGATATTGAACCATCCTTTATCCCTGGAATAAATCTCACTTGGTCATGGCAAATGATCTTTTTAATGTATTTTTTAATTTGGTTTGCTAATATTTTGTTGAGGAATTTTTATCTGTGTTTCACCAGGGATATTGGTCTGTAACTTTCTTTTTTACAGTGCCTTTTTCTGGTTTTTGTAACAGGGTTAATGCTGTTCTCATAGAATGAATTTAGAAGCATTCCTCCATCTCCAATGTTTGGAACACTTCAAGAAGGATAAGTATTAGCCTATTTGAATTGTATTTTAAAACCAAAGCTTTTTACTGATGTTTTGGGATCTATTCCCTATTTATAGCATAATTATTCAAGGATAGATTACTTCCAGCATCCTTTCAGTAAGACTCCAGAATGACTGAAAACTGATCAAGACTCACTGATGAACTCTGTTGAAGATAAACTTAGTCACAAGGTTTGGATCTGACTGGCAGGCAGGTCACAAGGTTCAGGTTGCCACACAAGTATGGGTAAGGCTTAGAAAGTTAAGTTAGCTCTAGTAGCTTTTCTTACAACTTTGTTTCACTAGTAGGAAAATATATGCTCTCAGCAAACTCCACCATTCATACCAGAAATTGTTTCCTTTTTATACTAATATATCCAGAATGTCCCTATTTTCAAAGTTAGTTTGAGCTCATAAGAGAATGACTATAATTCACCCAATACTACAATAAATGAATAAACTACCTATCTTTCTATTTAAAGAACAGATAGGAAAGCCTGAATGTAGTATTTATTTGATGAATTTACATGAGGTCATTTACAAAAGAAACGATACAGACAAATGCAGCTTTCAGTGCAGTTTCAAATATGTTTTGAACAGGCAATAGTCCATGAGGATTTGGAATGACTGAGGTAAAGTGTATTGTCATTCTTATCCCTTAATTCTCTTTATAATGTCTTATTTTTCCCATGTACTTTTAAGATTTTCTCATCATCACTTATTTTACAGAATTTATGATGTACTTTAATGTTTTCTTGTGTCTTGTGCTTGGGAGTTCTTTGTGATTCTTGTGTCCTTGGGTTTATACTTTTCACCAAATTTAAAATACTATCAGATAGTCTTTCTTTTCCATTTCTTTACTGATGTTGTAAATATATATATGTGTGTGTGTGTGTGTGTGTGTATATATATATTTATATGTACAAATCTTAATATACAGCTAGATGAATTTTGATATGTACACTAATGGTACAGTAACCATTATCCAGATCAAGATAACATTCTTAATAATTTTTGCTCCCCTTCACCTATTTCACCCATCCCCATACCCTCTTTCCTATGGCAACCACTGGTCTGTTCTCTGTTTGAGTCTGTTTCTGTTTTGTTTGTTCACCTTTAGATTCCACACAAGTGAAATCACATGATATTTGTCTTGCTCTGACTTATTTCACTTAGCATATTATTCAGCTTCATCCATGTTACAAGTGGCAAGGTTTCATTTTCTTTTATGGCTGAGTAATATTCCATTGTATATATGAGCCACAAGCTCTTTATCTGTTCATCTATTGATGAACATTTAGGTTGCTCCCATATTTTGACTATAGCAAGTAATGACATGATAAGCATAGAAGTACATGTATCTTTTCTTTGCATAAATTCCCAACAGTGGAATTGCTGGGATAAATAGTATTTCTATTTTGTTTTTTGAGGAACCTCCATACTGCTTTCCATAGTGGCTGCACCAATTTACAGTCCCATCTGCAGTGCACGAGGGTTCCCCTTTTCTCCATATCCTTGCCAACACTTGTCATCTTGTTGATAGTAGCTACTCTGACTGGTCTGAGTATCTCAGTGTGGTTTTCATTTGCATTTCCCTGATGATTAGTGATATTGAGCATCTTTTCATGTACCTGTTGGCCATCTGTATAAGACTCTTCTTTAGAAAAATGTCTGTTCAGATCCTCTGCCAGTTTTAATCAATTACTTGTTTCATTGGTGTTGATGGCTTTATATATTTTGGATATTAACCCCTTGTTGGATATATCATCTGCAAATATATTCCCATTCAATAGGTTGCCTTTTCACTTTGTTGATGGTTTGTTTTGCTGTACGTAAGTTTTTTAGCTTGATGTAGTCCACATACTTTTGCTTTTGTTTTCCTTTTCTGGGGAGACACACCAAGAAAAAAATTGTTAATGCCAGTGTTCAAATGTACTGCCTCTGTTTTCTTCTTAGGAGTTTCATGGTTTCAGGTTTTGTGTTTATTTTTGTGTATGGTGTAAGAAGTGGTCCAGTTTTCCCAGCACCAAATATTGAGGAGACTATTTTTTCCCCACTGTATATTCTTGTCCTCTTTGGCATGTTAACTGACCATGTAAGTGTGGATTTCTGGACTCTCCATTCTGTTCCATTTATCTCTGTCCATTCTTCTGCTAATGCCATATTGTTTTGATTACTATAACTTTGCAGTATAGTTTAAAACCAGGGAATGTGATACCACCAGCTTCATTCTTCTTTCTCATGATTACTTTGGATATCTAGGAACTTTTGTGGTTTCATACAAATTTTAGTATTTGTTTTACTTCAGTTAAAAATGCTATAGGTGTGTTGATAGAGATTGCATTTGTTTACTTCTTTGGATAGAATGGCCACCTTAACAGTATTAATTCTTCCTATCTGTGAGCATGGAATATTTTTCCATTTACTTGTGTTGCCTTATTTATTTTATCAATGTCGTATGCTTTTCAGAGTACAGGTCTTTCACCTCCTTGATTACATTTATTCCTAGGTATTTTATTCTTTTGATGCAATTGTACATCAAAACAATTGATTTAATTTATTTGTATATAGAAATGCAACAAACTTCTGTATACTGATTTTTGTATTCTGTGACTTTACTGAGGTCATTTATTCTTAAAAGTTTTTTGAAGGAGTGTTTAGGGTTTTCTATGTATAGTATCAAGTCATCTCCAAATAGTGACAATTTTACTTCTTGCCAACTGGGATGTCTTTTCTTTTTATCTGATTTCTATAGCTAGGACTTCTAGTACTATGTTGAATGCAAGTGGTGAGAATGGGCATCCTTGTCTTGTTCCTGATCTTAAAGGAAAAGCTTTCAGCTTTTCACCATCAAATATGATGTTAAGTGTGGGTTGCCATAAGTGGCCTTTAGTATGTTCTGTGTTCCCTCTATACCCACTTTGTTGAGTTTTTATCAGGAATGAATGCTGAGTTTTGTCAAATGCATTTTCATCATCTTTTAGGATGATTATATGGTTTTTATTCCTTTCTCCTGTTAAAGTAGTGTATCATATTGACTGATTTGTGGATATTGAACCATCCTTTATCCCTGGAATAAATCTCACTTGGTCATGGCAAATGATCTTTTTAATGTATTTTTTAATTTGGTTTGCTAATATTTTGTTGAGGAATTTTTATCTGTGTTTCACCAGGGATATTGGTCTGTAACTTTCTTTTTTACAGTGCCTTTTTCTGGTTTTTGTAACAGGGTTAATGCTGTTCTCATAGAATGAATTTAGAAGCATTCCTCCATCTCCAATGTTTGGAACACTTCAAGAAGGATAAGTATTAGCCTATTTGAATTGTATTTTAAAACCAAAGCTTTTTACTGATGTTTTGGGATCTATTCCCTATTTATAGCATAATTATTCAAGGATAGATTACTTCCAGCATCCTTTCAGTAAGACTCCAGAATGACTGAAAACTGATCAAGACTCACTGATGAACTCTGTTGAAGATAAACTTAGTCACAAGGTTTGGATCTGACTGGCAGGCAGGTCACAAGGTTCAGGTTGCCACACAAGTATGGGTAAGGCTTAGAAAGTTAAGTTAGCTCTAGTAGCTTTTCTTACAACTTTGTTTCACTAGTAGGAAAATATATGCTCTCAGCAAACTCCACCATTCATACCAGAAATTGTTTCCTTTTTATACTAATATATCCAGAATGTCCCTATTTTCAAAGTTAGTTTGAGCTCATAAGAGAATGACTATAATTCACCCAATACTACAATAAATGAATAAACTACCTATCTTTCTATTTAAAGAACAGATAGGAAAGCCTGAATGTAGTATTTATTTGATGAATTTACATGAGGTCATTTACAAAAGAAACGATACAGACAAATGCAGCTTTCAGTGCAGTTTCAAATATGTTTTGAACAGGCAATAGTCCATGAGGATTTGGAATGACAGTATTGAATGGCGCATGCTTCAGTTTCCTTTGTGTGTTTTTCTACCCAACCTTAAAGGGTAGGAAGGAAGAGGAGTAGAAGGAAATATCAGTGTTAATGTAAATACAGCCATGCAAATAAAAACTTTACATCAGAGGTTATTCAGAGATGTAGAACATTTCTGTATTCAGGGACCATGATAGTAGGTATATAATTTAAAAACTGAAATGCAGAGCTCTCAAAATTACCATTATCCAAGTCATCTTAAATTATATCAACTGCCCCTTCATATCTTCCAGTCTCTGACTTTGGAAGGGAATCTTCTAAGAGTTTCTAAAAAATAATATTTGTAGACAATATTTTTGGTTTCAGTAGGATAAAGCACCCTTTTAAAGAGGGGTAAAATGCTCCTTTAATTAGATTTAATTTAAAAGTATAACTGAAAACTTGTACTTTTATTATACCTCAGATTTAAATAAACCTTTACCAACCCCATATATCTCAAAAGACTGCTTGAGAACACAACCTGTCCCCCAACCAGAAAAATACATCATATAAGCAAAAGGATGGTCTATAAAATGACAGTTGGAAGAAAACCATAAAAAGTGATTTCTAAGTAAAAGAGTGAGGTAAAGATAAAATGGACAAAACAACAAATCTGCTTTCAGTATCCCTAGTGAAGACTAAGAAATGGGCAGTCAGTCAGGCCTTAGAAACCAAGGTTACTTCAACACTAAAAAGCACTCCATGTGTCCTCAGCATCTTTGAGACTACCCAAAAAAGTTTAAGCATGGTTGAGGCACTAAACTTGTCACTTCAGGAAATGTTATTTCTAGATCCAAGACTATCTTGCTTTTGGAACCTTCAGCCACATTTTCTTCACTAGAAATTTGAAACAAATATTTCCACTTACCACATTTCATCTTTTTACACAGGACCAACCTATACTTTTTTGAAAACATATACTATTAAACAGTACCTATTACAGAAACTAGCCACAAACAATCATAAACATACTTCCATTTCATCTTACCTCTTGACTGGTCCACTCCCATTAATACTCAAACCTTCCAGCACATGTATCAAAATATTGTGCTTCTGCATAATCAGCTGTTGTGGACTTTAAGAACAATGTACATTATCCATTAGAGTTGAAAGGTGTCAAAAGGCTTAAGAGTTACCACTGAGTCTTTCTAACATTCTGCATAGTCAGAGGCATTGTACATGTCCTGGTTTAATGGGTCTAATTTTGATGCCTTAAAAATAAAATCCCCATTTAAGCAATTCACTTAAAAAAAAATCAGCTGAAAGGGATTAAACTGAATCTAAAAGAAACCTATGTTACAGCACTTACTATGTTAATTTAAAAACCAACATGCTGTAAAATACTTAGATATTACACACACACACACACACACAGCCAAAATTATCTCCCCATCACCAAAAAAAAAAAAGCCAAGTCAACTAACCAGTTTTTATTTGCATGGCCAATTATCATTTGTACTCTTTGCAACTTAATTTTAATGTCCCTTTAATAAGTTCTAAGCTTTTGTTGCACAGGAATAAAAGCTGCAACACTGTGTACTTCCTTCAACAGCCACTCCTACAACACCTAAATACTTCAACAGATGTAACGAATGACAACAGCACAAACAGAAATACTAAGTTCCACCATTCAACACAGTTCATGACAATGTCCTTAGGGTTCAGTTGAAGAGGGGGTAAACCTACCCCCCCATTTTATAATGTTGGTGGTTTTAATCCGTACTTCTTTGCAACTTCTGTCTGGGCATGGGCAGCATCACAGAGTGAATACAGATGAGCCATCTCCGTTTCTGATTTGGCCAGGTTAATAGCTTTGTTGAACATGTCAATGGCTTTTTCCATGTTTCCTCTAAAAGAACAAAATATTTCAATGTCTGTTTCAATAAGCACCTCACAGAATGTGATGAAGTCTTTAAATTGTGCTACATGGAGTCTGACCACTCTTTATAAAATAGCATTCAATGAATGTTAGTTACAACTACAAATACATTATATTATTTCCTTACATTATACCTCTAGTGATTTGTTCTAATAAGAATATAAGACCACAGAAATTAAACGCCTTATTTAAAATCATAATCTTGTCTAGTTCCTAAGTCCTGGTGTTTCTACTCTATGACGGGGCTCTGAGAAAGTAGTGACAGCCTCAGAGAACATTAACAGTACTCGAGCTTTCCCTCCACACATCTGCATACGTCCCTCTTCTTTCCTCATCTCTTACCGCCATATACCTCCACTCCAGTCATACAGGTCTGAGGTTCCTTGACTATGCCATACATCACACTTGTACATAATGCTCAGATTATTTGTTACCTCTCTGCCTGATTCTAGTCAAATCCTCAGTTTTCTAAAGTCCAGTTCAAATGTAATATCCTCATGAATGTATTTTCCCCTTCTTCCCTATGGGAATTGGCCGCCCCCCTCCCAATGTTCCCATAGTTCTACTGTTATTCTGTGCACAATCCAATGAATATATATATATATATATATGTTTATACCACAGTCTTATTAGATCCTTAATGGACATCTCTCAATTCTCCAGAATCTAGCACAATGCCTGTAATTAGTACCTTTTTTTAAAGTAAATGAATGAATATGTTTGGTCAAAAAAATTTATTTCTTACAGTATAAGGGTGGTTGGACTTTTTATATTTGCTAAGAACCAAGAACTATGTTACATAACCAGTATTATGTATATGTGCATACATGCATGTAATCTTAAATATTTATCAATTCCCCACTATACATATGCCAATTAGACTCTACAGTAAGTCTCTGGCATAACTATTTAACCTCCTAATACAATATATGGCTACATGACAGACTTATTGTTCTTAAATAGTAACTTCTTTCAAAGTGCACATTCAGATATTGGACAGTAGGTTTGCTAAATCCTAGGATAATAGGCAGTATCGTTCATTCACATTTATTTATGTGTTTGTATGGCAGGATTTAGAATGGATTTCTTAAGAGTACATTCAACACAAAATCCATCAAATCCCATAGATCAGGGGTCCTTAATCCAGGGGTCCTATGAGAAATTAAATGCATGAGAAGTCATATACAAAATCACATTATTGTCAATTTCAATAGCCTAAGTATTTTTATACATACATTATTCTAAGAAAAACACACAGCTTTGCTAAAAAAAAAAACTACCATCCCATCCCATTCTAGTATGAGAACATTTTATTCACATTAACAATTTGGCAATTAAATAATTTAATATTTACATGCAATTGTCAATATAGAATGGTTCAAAAGAATCACAGAAATCAACAACCTATGTATAGTCTGCCTAGTGGGCAGCAAAGAGAGAGGACCCCAGGATTGGCTGCATTACAGAGAATTAAGGCAAGTCCTACTGGCTCCTGACAAGGGATAGTGAGAAGAACAGTTGCTTTGGCATCTGAAATAATGGGCTCAACCTTGTTTCTACTAATGGCTTACCATGTACCCTTGTTAACCAGTCTGGGCATTAGTTTCTACACCCTTCAATTAAACTGAGAATCATATAATCTCCACTTCTATAAAGACTGGGATAAAGATCAATTGAAATAATATTTGGGAGATACCTAAAGTTAAGTACTTGGCCTAGTATATGTACTGGACAACAATGCCAGTATTAAGATGGTACACTACACTAAATTCTATGGCATACACCTGTTAATGGTAGATCTCAACTGTTACTCTGGATAAACATTTACACAAAACAAAAAGTTACAGTTAAATCAGTCACAAAATATCTTATTCAACTCCCTTTTAAGAAAACTTGGGAGCTAAGAGATGCTGCTGCAACTTGCATTGTCACTTGACTGGTTACTTCTTTGTACAGGATCCAGATCTGCTGGCAAACTGGCTATCAATACTTTGCAGGTGAAAAGAGAAACACAGACAACAGGTATTAGATCAAGTTTCCCTTTCCAATGCATATGGTTGACTTGATTTTTGTCAGTATGATTTTTAAATTGGAAAAATCAAACAAGGAACATCAAAGTTGTGTGGTTTTGATGAAAGTTTGCCTCAAAAGGCATAACATTAACATGAAATTTAGTGGATATTCTGTAATAACATACTATAGTAAGAATGAAAAAATTATCATCTATGGAGGTACCTTAATTTTTTAAAGAACAGACTTTGGAACTTACCTTTGTACTTCAATAGTTCCCATGGTTTCATATGCAAAATCACATTTATTGTCAATTTCAATAGCCTTGCTGATAAGCTCCAAACCTCTATCGAGATCTTGCTTCCACTGAAGTTGAAGTAAACTGCAAATGCAGAAAGGCAGTCAGATGTGACCACAGTCCAGTATCAACAGGAATAAAAGTGATGACTCAACTTCTGCCCTCAGTGAATTCATAATTTACAAGGAAAAATGAAATCTAAAACAGTATATAATCAACATAAGAACTTTTTTTCCCTCAATTTGGTTTTGTAGTCTCAATTCCTTATGGTGAAAAAAAATGTCCAAAAAGTCTAGACTCTGTTACTAACTTACATAGCTTAATTTTTTACTTTGTATAAATTTAAGCAAAGGTTTTTTTTTAAATGGTATTTTAAGTATACAAGGACAGAAAAAACTTATTTCACAAGTTTCCTGTTACGATACAAGTAACAGAGTGTTCAGGACCAAAATCCGTCAGTTAGAATGAAAATAGTATACTTACTAATTGCTGTGTAAGAATGAAACACAAGTAAAACTTACAAAATTAACAGAAAAGCTCCACAGCATTAAAAAAAACTTACTAATACTATGCCACAGCCCCCTTCCTAAATGACCAAAGGAATCCATCTTAAGAAATTCAGTTTCTTACTGGAACAAACAGAACCACAAAAATACATACCCTTTATGAACATATGTTGTGGCATTATCTGGTTCCAAATCAATACATTTATCATACATTTCATCAGCTTTACCAAACTGCTGTTGATCTGTTAATGCCTGTGAAGATATAATTCAGTTATATTAAGGTAACTGCTAACCTACACAGTTAAAAGTACATTGCTTATCAATTATTAAAACTATCCATTCATTAACAGATTGTGGTATTTTTGGGTTACAAACTTATTTAAAATGTTGCCCCTTAATTGTTTCTTTTCTATGTAGCATTATTATAAATAATGCTACACTGTTTCTTTTTGCTAAGTAGTTATATGCAACAACAGCTATTTACTGAACTATAGAATACAGAAAAATCCCACGCCTGTCAGTTCTAGATTCTCACTTACTCAGAGTTTATCATAATACATCCTAAGGGAATAACTTTAAAAACAATACTCATTTAGAATGATAATTTCAAGTAAGTATGTTAACTGTTACCAGAGTCATTCCTTCAAAATGAGTGGTGAGAGAAAAAAAAAACAGCTACAATCAACTATTTTAAGACAAATCCCATGGCAGTGTGGATACCAGATCAGGCTCCAACTGTAACTCTGAGAGTTGGCCAGCATCTAAGCTTAAGCTTGAGAGTTGAAAAGTTATGTCACTAAGTACAGCTGTGTGTGTGTGTGTGTGTGTGTGTGTGTGTGTGTGTGTGTGTGTGTGTGTGTGTAAATATATAACTACCTAATAGTGAAGCAAAAATCAGGAGAGATAAATAAATAAGTAAATCAATCAATCAATCAATCAATCAGGAGAGAGACCAGAAGACAGTAATTTTAGTGCAGATTGTTAATAATGTTAGTGCTAATGAGAAGACAGGTCAAGTAAGTTCAAACCTATTTTGAAGGCAGCACAGTGAGAGGGAAATAACTGCAATTACAAAGCCTCTGCAAGATTGTACCTAGTATTAGGTTCTTTAAAAGCTATTCAGTGGCCTTTGTTCTTTTAGCTGCCTCTGCCCCAAAAAGCCCTTCAGAATTTCATTTTAGTGATAAGGATGTTGTCACCCTTCTGGTTTATTCCTAATATAAGGCATAAAGCTGGGTGTGCCTATTCAGTACAAATGTCATAAAGTTATAATGTTCATTTGTTGTATCTTCTATATATACTATAAATTTTTCTATTTGGTCTATGTTTCACAATTAGTGTGTATAATCAGCAACCAGTTTTCATTTCTTTATTGTCACAGTCCTAAGAACAAAGACTGAATAGATCAGATGATTTCAAACTGAAGTTAAAGAATTTCTGGGTTGTACTTCATATCCTAGAATCTCAATCCCTAACAATGCAATGATATTTAGGGTTTTCAAGAATAGATCCAACACAAACCAATCTTCTCATAGTTCCTTCTCAGTAAGCCCTCAAAAAAGTTTCTCCCTGTGGAACTTCTTATAACTTGACTAAAGAGAGCATGAAGGAAATTAAAAACAATACAAGCAGCCTTAAGGATGGTTTGGAGATGTTAGTCCACACAAATGGTCATTTTCAAATATTTAGCATTTCTGTGATGTTTGGGTGGGAAAAACATTTGGAATAAAAAAAAATACACAGAAAAGATACTGAGATGGCTAGTTTATGTAGATACCGAAAGCAACTTTCAGACGTTATTTAGTTGGAGAAAGAAGTACAACTGTGGCTATAAGAAGCTAATCGTTTTCTTTGAAATTGATTGAAAATTAATGTTTTCAAAGACTTCAGACTACAATTAAAAAGTTAAAGTAATTCATACTTAAATTGTTTTCCTTAGCTTCGATCCTAAAAACACTTCAAGAATTTTAGACAAACCATTTAGAAATTAAAAGGAGCTGTCATACATCTAACCATTAAAAAGATAATGATCAAATAGAAAACCCTTTCTATGGACATCTTCCCCTCCAACTGCATTTTCTTAAGATAATTAAATTTTGCAAATAGAATCCAAATGAAAACATAAGGGAAATAATCCACTTAAGCTTCTCTGTTATGAATTTAGGGCCATGGTTTTCAATTATTGTACCATAGGAGCCCCTCCTGAGTTGACTGAAGACGATCCTGGGAGTCAGGAGAATCAAAGCAGAAATGAAATCATCTACTTCCACAGAAGCTGTAACCAGAGAAGCACTGTTTTCTGATTTTCTTACTGGTATTCAGCATATGAATGCAGCTTATTAAAAAAGGAATGGCAACTGATAAAATATACAAAATCACATTTACCTGGGCATATAGTGCAAAGCCTTCAGCACACTTTGGAAATTTCTTTATGACTTCTTCAAAACCTTTCATAGCTGCTTGGATTTGTGAAGAATTATTTCCCGTATATGCTTGGCGATACTATTTTAAAAATCAGAACAGATCTGTAAAATCAAGAACTCAAAAACCCATAGAATGTTAATATATTACAAAAGTCACACACAATTACATAAATCTTTCTATAAAAGCAGTGACTTGCTAACATAATTTGCTTCAGATGGAAGAGTTCCAAAGGAACATCTCCAGAGCAGGGACCCAAATGCTATGTACAATTAGGACCTTTGTTGCCACTATACAATTTCAGGATGTTCAGTACTTAAGAAGAAAGCATACTAACATGTATGAAGTTAACTTTGCATATAAATGGGGGAAAATTAAATCTAATAAAACCGTATCACTTTACTGAAAGTGTTTACAAAGCTCCTTCATCCAAAAACATTTTTCATCTATAATATAAATGTGTTTGTGACCCAATTTCTTTCTTTAAAAGGAAGTGGTTTCAGGCCTCAGGCTATGGGACTGACTGGAAGTACCTCAGTTCACTAGAAATGGACTTATTTCACCTGTTTTTTAGCTCTGTTTCTGAATATCAATAGCTGTACAAAGGCTATTTGTAGATGGTGAGAGAGCAGGTATGTGATACCATGATCACTGAGTATTTCCTCAAAATGCTTTTGTTGTTTGTACTAGTTTATGATAGAGAAGCAGGAAAAACAGTGCTGTTCAATCAGGGACAAACATTATCAAGATGAACTCAAATAAAAGACCTAGAGACATATAGGAGTAGTACCTCAATTAGCATATATACTTGTTTCTCTGAACTAATACATTTTCCTCCTGCAGTCTTCCTTTGGAGGGATAATAACTTCTGTAGACAGCGATTTATTTATCTTTGTTAGCAATGTAAATAAAAGTGATTTCTAGGAAAATAAAAAAAGAAAGTGGAACCTACCAATGCAAAACATTTCTGGGCTTGTGCCAAAGCAGACTCAGGTCTTAACCTAATACATTCATCAAAATCTGCCACTGCTTCTTCAACTTGATCAAGCAGTATTTTCAGCTGAGGAAAAAAATACATACATAACACACAACTCAGAATAATAGGTGCACCAGTTCAGTACACACTGTGGCCCTTATCACAGCTCAGAATGCTAAGCATATAGTAGTTACTCAATATAGAGTTACCTTCTAGAAACTGAATGAAGAAAATCTTACAATTTTAAAGGGAAGATTCTAAACCTTAAAACTAGTGTCCAATTTTTTAAAAAGCACTATGAACTCACCAGTTTCGCACTGAAATTTGATCACTCTTAAGAAACTGCTTCTAGAAAACTAAACAGCTCCTCTGTACCTTTAGATTTCAAAGCAGATCAGGCATCAAATAATTACCTTTCTAATTAATCTTAAGATACGACCAGTTAAGATCAAAATGTCAATGATTTTATGAGGTTATCTCAACACTTCGTAACACCCTTCAGACAGAAATATTAGGTAAAACTCTTCAATAAAAAGATCTGCAGCCTTTCTGCTAGTATATGGACAGCTTACACTTTCTATCCAAATGCATTCCAAGAAGCCATGTTAAACAAGCAGATTAAAAAGCCATGTTTGCCCCAAATGAGAATGAAATTGGGGACTGCTTTTTTTTTTTTGTACTGTTTGGCTAGTCCAGGCTAATTATTTCCTTAAGCAAGAAGCCTACAAAAATTCTGTTGATTCTACCATTAACTCAAAATGCTCACTAATGTTTTTAATATTTTACTCACTGAAAACCTATGAGCCAGAAACATCTGAAAAACAAACATGAACTGGCAAGCCCATTTTTATAGCCTTCCTTTTTTAATAAGTAAATGCCAAAATTATAAGATTTTGAACAAATGTTTAAGAAGGGATTAAGTAAATGACAACCCAAACTGTAAACCACTGCAATATGTTGTTCACAGCTATCAGAAGTGATACAGGAAATCTTAAGACAGTCTCAAAACTGGTAGCAACTTCCTCGATCCAGGGTCAGCACTTTACCTGTCCCCGGTGATGGTAAACATCTGCATTCTGAGGATCGATGTCAGCAGCCATGTTAAAATCCTGCGTCGACAGCAAAGGCTGCTGCTGTTGCATGTACATGCTACCCCTTTTGATGAGAGCATTTGCTTGAAGCTGAATACCCAAAATGAGAAAAGGTTCATCATTACTACTTTTTATTTCAATTAAAAAAAATAACAGTTCCATTGATTTATAATTAACATAAAACTCACCCTTTTAAAGTGTACCAGTCACTTTTAGTATATTCACAGAGTTGTGCAACCATTATTATTACCTAATTCCAGAACATTTTCATCATCCCCAGAAGAAACCTGACATACATTAGCAGTCACTCCCCATTTCCCCCACTAACCCTCAGCCTCTGGAAACCATCAATCTATGAATTCGTATATTCTGGACATTTCATATAAATGGAATCATATGTGGTCTTTTTGTGTTTTGCTTTTTTCGCTTAGCATAACATTCTCAAGATGCATCTATTTTGTAGCATTTGTCGGTCCATCATTCTTTTTAATGGCTGAATAATATTCCATTGTAGAGATACACCACTTTTATGTATCCATTCTTGATCAGCATTTGAGTGCTTCCACTTTTTGGCTATTATGAATAATGCTGCTACGGATATTCATGTACAAGTTCTCATGCTGACATGTGTAATCAAATCTTTTAGCCTTATACCTAAGAGGGGAATTGCTGGGTCATATGATAACCCTATGTTTAACATTTTTAAGGGACTCTCAAACTACTTTCCAAAAGGACTTTACCATTTTACATTCCTACCTGCAATATACAAGAGTTCCAATTTCTCCACATCCTCACCAATACTTTCAACTGTCCATCTTTCTAATTATAGCCATCCTAGTGTGTGTAAAGTGATTATCTCACTGTGATTTTGATTTGTATTTCCCTAACAGCTAATGAAGCTGAGCAACTTTTCATGTTATTGACCACTGTATATATTTGGAGAAATGTCTTTCAGGTATTTGGCCTCTTTTTAAACTGGTTTGTCCTTTTATTACTGAATTGTTAGAAGCTCTTCATATATTCTGGATATAAGCCCCTTAACAAGTATGTAATTTATTAATATTTTCTCCCATTCTGTGGAATCTATTTTCTCTTGATGATGCCCTTTCTATCACAAAAGTTTTTAATTTTGATGAATCTTTTCTTTTGGAGTGATTACACTTTTAGTGGCATATCTAAGGAACCACTGCCTAAACTAAGGAATAAAAATTTCTTCCTGTATTTTCTTCTAAGAGTTTTAGCTCTTACATTTAGCCCTCTGATACATTCTGAGTTAATTTTTTTGTACAGGGCATATGATATGCATCATTACTACTTGCCATAAAACAAAAAGTTGTGATCATGAAGCAAGAAATACCTTCTCCAGAATTCTTTTTCTAAGGCAAAAGTAGATATAAATGTTTTCCTTAATGAAACGAACAGTAATGTCCCCATAATTATAACAATAACACATAATAGTATGTATTTGTAATCATCAAGAAAGCAGCAGGAAATAAAATTAAAGATAATATTACTATGGTATTTTCAGTTTTAAACCTCATTTTGAAAGGAACATTTGAACGGAGTTAATTGTTATCTTTTTATTTACAAGAAGTTAAGATAATTTGTTTATACTTAAACCTTGAAAACAACATTCAATTCCACAGAATACATGGATGTGGCTAAGCTGTTTTCTTGTTACACTGTGTAGAAGGCCCATATAATTCAACAGATTCCCCCTAATTAATTATGAAAATAATTACATACACATAAGAACACTTGGAAAATGAAAAGCTGTTCCAACCATACAACCGCAAAAACTTTTTGTGTACTTCAATATCTTTCCATATCATTATTTTTAGAACCTGTCTTTTATTTGATATAACACAAAATCTTTCAGAATATATCAAGTGTGTTTACTTTCATTAAATGCATTCTATAATCCTGTACTCCATATTGCATGCTACAGTATTACCTATAACACTGCTCTCACCACACATAGGTAATACAGTAGATTATATAAGGGGAAGCTTAAGCTACTAGATGCTTTAGGAAAAAATTCTTTTATAGCTAAAGATGACTACCATTGATATTTATGTTTCAGTTTCACTGTACCAACTCAGTCACCATTAGGTGTAGTTTCTTCCAAAGCAAAAGCAACCTTTTGGAGAATGGCAACTGAAATGAAAAAAATCTAGCAAAACATATCTTAGAAGTTTCATTTTTATTTTTATGCACACACACACACACACACAAAACTTTTAAATGTACCTTCACGTTAGCTTCTTTCAAACTGATCACCTTATCTAAATCTGGTTTGGCTGCATTGGCGTTGCCAATAAGCAAGTAGAAGGTGGCTCGTAGTAACAATGCTTCTGCCATGTATTTGCCTTGAGCATCTATTTCTTTTGAACATTCACTTATGATTTTATCATAGTTTTCTTCTTCCATATACTGTTTGGCCTTTAAATACCCAGAACTGAAAATAAAAATGAACACAGGACTTTATTTACTAAGAAAGGACCAAATGCTAAAAGTTCCCACATTTAGTATACCTCAGGTTAAGCAACTATCCATTTCCCCTTAACTGGTTAGTCAGCTAGTGTGGAACTGGAGTAGGACAGGGAGGTAACAGTTTAGGATTTTTTATTTTGACTGGGCTCTTTTAATGCCTTACAGAGAGTTAGTTTAAAAAAGGAAACAGCAGAGTCAATGGCAGGAACCTTGGTTACTCAAATATGTGAAAAGATGAGCTAACGACATACTGATCTGTAACACAGGCAAAGATCCTATCTTATTCACCTTCATTATCTATGGCACACTCGTATCACCCAGTAGTTATTTTATGACTAACAGAAAGAAGAGAGAAATAGGAAATACTCAAGAAAATTTAGGGTCACAGGAGCCAAGGGAAGAGGTGTGACTTGAGTTCTGCTTTGTAAATATCACTCTGGCTGCCTTGTGGAAAATGGAGTATAAAGGAGCAAGACTGGAGGCAGGGAAATATCTGAAGGGCTCTCCTGAGAAATTGTGTTGTTTTACCTAAAAGAACAGACTTAGAGAGAATAGGTGGAAATATCAAAGCAAATTTAAAGGAATTCTTCCATCAAATAAGATTTTAAAGAAAGCACCCTTCCCTACTTAAAATGTGGTGACCACAATATTATTTTTCTAAGATGATGACTTTTATTGAGGATGCTCATAGAAGGGGATTTTTTTGAACTGGGAAAAAATTTGCAGTAGATGACCTTTAAGGGGTCTTACAAATATCAGGCACTATAAATTAAAATATATTTTCTTATTTCATTTGTTACATAATATAGATAAAGAAAACCAGCAAGTGACTTAAAAATTATGTTGGTCAAAACCTTATGACCTCTGTGCTAACCTTTATCACAATCACATTCTAATATTCTCTGCACTCCAGTTTTATTCCTCAGCTCACCAGGCTAAAAAAATATTATTAAATCAGATCGGAAATGAAGGTTCCTACTTACTGAGAACTTACATGCTAAGATGCTCACAAACATGACCTCTAAATCTCACAATAACCCTCAAAGGTATAATTAGCGTCATTTAAAAAACTGATTAAACTAAGGCTCAGAGTAAAATGGAGTTCAAAAACTTGAGTCCATTTCCACTTAGCGTCCTTGTGAACAGTAGCCATGTCTTATTCCTCAATAAAGTTTTAGAATAGTGGCATTAACTTTTACAGTAGTTTTTCTGGGACAAGGACTATCTACTAATCAGAAGAAATTACTGGCATCATCTTAAATATTTACATCCCAACTACAATTTTGTGAAAATATTGAGCATCAACTAACTAAAATTTGTAAATCTTGGTACAATCATGAATAGTACTTCCCTTAAAAGATGGCCAACAATGGCAGAAAAATTGGGACATAAAAATCAAAAGCAGTCCAAACCTTCAATATGCTATAGATGTAAAACTATGCTCTGCTACAGGAACAATATTCCCTTTTCTTCAAACTCTTTCAAAAATGTCATGTTGGTAATAATAATGTACCTTCTCTTACAGAGGAGAGCTAGCCTTCACAGCAAACCACAATACTGATCAATTTAAACAGAAAAGCAAACTAGATGGCTTCTGCACTACATTGTATCACTTGGTCTCTGGTTGTAAATGCAGCATCTTGTACTTTGGTTTCAGCTCTCCACAGGAGCAAACACAAGAAGCCCAAAATATGGTATTTTCCTAGGCTAGCAGAAAACTTTAAAAAGTCCTTCTTCCAGGCACTCCTAAATATCTCATAGTTTTATAATTTATAAACTTCCCCGCACTAAAATATTTGGATTGAGCTACACAATTATTTCTAAGTTAGTACCTCTATTCAAGTATGGTCAAAGACTCGACTCAATGGGAGCCTCTAGAGCATCATACAGGACCATAAAGGAAGGGCAGATCCCTAGCAATAAAAACTTGAATCACAAGAGAATTAACTCTCAGGGTGTAACAGGTACATGTGAGAAGAGATGTATTTTTGTTACAATAATATTATGTAACATTTATTTTTTATGTTCATCTGTAGATAGGTAGTTTTGTTTTTGAGATGACTCAGAGCCCCACTTGGGCTCTATGGCAGCAAAAAAAATAACCCAAAAAGTCTCTCCCAAAACACTGAGCAGATACCATTCCTGGCACACTTACTTTTCTTTCACTTCTGAGGCTTCCCCTTCCTTGTCTTTGTCTTCATCAGACTTCTCTCCTTTAAGCATGGGCTGTGAAATTATATCATCCGTGAAAGAACTGAAATAAGATTTGATGAACTGTGGAGATGGCATCAGAGGCTCACGATTCTGAAATTTAACCATGTTTAAACACACCAAAATGAGAAAACACTGACCAAAGAAGCAGGTACATTTGTAAAATACTGAGAACAACTGTTTAAAAAATTGAAATTTCATTTTCAAATAACTGAAGAATATTAGATTCCAAACCACAGAACAAGAGAGAGAAGAAATGGTAAAGTTGCCAGTCTCAGCTGCGCAAAGCAGGGTTTAAATGAGAGCCTTTCCCCTCCCCAAAGATGTACTTAAAAGTAAAATAAACAGTGAAATCTGGAACACAGGAGGCAAGTTAACTGCTGAGTTAAAATTATCTCCTTCTGGTGTCTATCCCAGAAGATTAGCATCTAATTTACCACTCAAGCCCAATCTTTCATGGGTACTGAAACGTCAAGTCCATTTACCGTGGGTTTTCATCTGTCCTCCAGTTGTATTACATCTGCAGACCTCCATTATAGTAAGTGCCATTAAAAGTCAGAATGAAATCACATTTCCTGTTTTAATTATTACTTTCTGTCTTGGCAACCCAATCCATAATTATAGCAGTATTTTGTTTCTCCTCATAGAACAATTAAGATGATGAAGTTTTGAAAGAGGGAAGATGGAATAGCACAGCCAAAGGACTCTCATAATATATGGTGGATCCGTTATCTACAAAATTCAACCCAAAGATTTAAAGATGGAAATACATATTCTCAATTTTATGTATAACAAATGTAATTTCTATTGCTTTGGTAGATTTAATGTCTTGAAGGAGGGAAAAAAAACAACCCGGGCTTCATAAATGATCTAATCTAGGATAGATGAGACTGGGAACGAAGAAAACCGAAGAGGAAATCTAAGGAAAACCCATTATTTATTTATTTTTTGCTCTTTCTGGGGAGAGATTGAATGTCTTAATTTAGGATTACATAAATAAGTATTTTAAATCACATGGTCACCAATCACATGACAAACATGCCTGAATTCAGTATTTCACTAAAGACTGAGTAGGAAGAGATAGTGGCAATCATTTTACCAATTTACAGGAAAGGCATAAATAAAAATTTAAATAGCACTTAGAGGAGGCTGAGTAATTCATTACTGTCTTTTAGTTTCCTATTTCAGTTTAAAATGAAGCTATCATCTCTCCCTGTCTTGGACAAGCAGTCACAAATTTAAAAGGAAAACAATGTTACAAGAATGGACTAAAGTATCAAAGGAACAAGATACAAATTCCAGCTCTGCCACTTATTAACTATGTGACCTTGCACAGGTCATGAAGTTTTCTCACCTCTACAATGACAAATAAAAATACTCCCCTTATTTATCTTACATGGTTGTTGTAAAAATAAAAACAATATGAAAAGTAATTTGGGGATTTACAAAGTGGCATACAAACAGATAAGAAAATATAGATACAAACTGACTTGGAACCTTTGTAAATGTAGGTTATCTTATAGTTTCTTACTACGCTGTAGTCCAACCAGCTCAACAATAACAAGAAACAATAGGTTCTGTTGAGGTTCAATTTGTGAGACATTTTACAAGTGTTTTCAGGAACACCAGTTCTATGAGATGCTCAAGGCAAATAAAAAAGGTTAAGAATGTCATTTAAGAACGTCACATGTTACTCTGGTAGATTGAATGTCTTTGTATTTGAAGGAGGAAAATAAAAAAGGACTGAGAACCACTCCTGAGCTATACTTCTCCTGAAGTTTCACAACACATCCTAGCACACAAAAATCCTACAGTGAAGAAACCTGTTTTAACTCTGCTAATATTCAGAAATGCAAAATAAAACATACATGCAGCTTATTAAAATCAACCTAAGAGAAGAATAAATTATTACTAAAGAAAAAAGGAACAACTGCCTCCATATTTCTGAAATTTAGCAGAAAATCTACAGGAATGTTTAGTGATGCCTGTGGTACTCTCAGGGCACTCATATCCCATGACACTTCACCATATTTCACCTTTTATACCTATTAATGGTCTGACTAAATTGTAATCTATAAGGGCAAGAACCATGTCGTTGTACTTTGCCTTCTAAAATGCCCACTATGGAGCACTGTTCAATAAATATTTCTTAAATTAAAACCATCTGCTACTAACTGCCCAAAACCCATGCCAATTTATACAGTATACCTTTCAAAACTAATGATAGATGGGGAAGGCAGTATAGCACAAAGAAGACAAGTAGTGACTCTATAGCATCTTACTACCCTGATGGACAATGACTGTAATGGGGTATGTGGTGGGGACTTGATAATGGAGGGGATCTAGTAATCACAATGTTGCTCATGTGACTGTATACGATATAAAAAACAAAAAACAAAAAACAAAAAAACCAGTGATATAGAACAGGGGTTAGCATATTTTTTCTGTAAAAAGTTAGGTAGTAAATATTTCAGGCTTTATGGACCAGTCTGTCACCATCACTCAACTCCGCTGTTTTAGCTTAAAAAGCAGCCCAATACAACGTATGAGTGGCTGCATTCCAATAAAATATAATTTATAAAAATAGGCAGACTAGATTTGGCCCACAGGCCACTTGTTTGGCAATCCCTTATATAGATGAATATTCTTCCAGTATTCTCCAGGTACAATATTGGGCATAGCCTACATTCTTATTTTGGAAAGATAAGTCAAAAAAGCCCAAGAAATTACAGGAAAAAGAAGTACAATCCAGATCTGATTTCAGTTGTTACCATTGTGATCATGCCCAAATTTAAGCAATATAAATCAGAAATGACCTTTCACAATGTATACTCCCTCTATTAACCAAATCAGATTAATTTACCTTGTATTTTTCTTTGGCTTTCTCTTTTCCAAGAAGTTTAAGAACTTTATCAGCTAACAGCATGCTTTGTTGATTTTGGAACCCTTCTAATATACACACAGCAGTGACATCTAGAAATGATGGAAAAAGCAAGAGTAAGGATGACATTATTGCCAAGATGATTACCAGCATAGAATGAGCATGTTACCAAAAGAATTCACAGCATCTTATTACCCTGATGCCTCATGTGGCTATCAATTTCATTTCTAATAAATTGATTCTTAACACTTTAGTTTTCTATACTCTGTGACCAAACTAAAATCTCAGAAAGTTACCCCACTTCTCTGGGATTTACTTTCCTCACCTGTGAAATGAAAGGGACTGTACTGCATGATTTGTGATTTGTAATGTCTTATATCACTCTAACATTCTACATAGCAAGTAAGGAATCCAGGAATTTTCTCTTCTGGCCAAACTGACATAATGTGGCTCTCTCATGTCCAGTCTTTTTTATGGGCCTCAAGAGTTCTTCTTTGTCTGAAAAGCTATTTTGCCACATATCTCGCAATTAAATCTGCTTCAAAAAAGCCATTTAATCTGGTTATGCCACAGCTCAAGGCACAACGGTTTGAAATTAAAAGATCAGTACTCCCTTAACTTCTCAACCTGTTATTCAAAGTAGTCAAACAATGGCTATTCCTTTTTTCTGAACTCTGTTTCCCACAATTCCAGCTCCCTGCTCCTATAAACTAGTCAATTTGTATGCTCCCTGTTAACCTGGCTAGTGCCAATGTCAGTGTCTTTTCCTATCCCACTTTGCCTATCTAAAATCCACTTAATCTCCTCTCTACAATGATCTGTTCAAGGCCTGGTTCAAAACTCAGAATTCTCTTTTCCAAAGCAACACTACTTCCACCTACCACCAAAGTATATGACTCACAAAACCTCAAATTTTTCTAAAATGTTCTCTAAACCACTCTTACTTGGTAATCCAGATTTAAAAAATAAAACAGCTTTTTCCTTTTAAATAATAATGTTACTTTTAAAAAATGATTATGCAAGGGGAAGACAGTGTAGCACAGAGAAGGGAAATAGTGATTCTGCGGCATCTTACCATACTGATGGGCAGTGACAGCAATGGGGTATAGGGGAACACAGTAACAGAAGTGAATGTAGTAACCATATTGTTTTTTCATGTGAAACCTTCATAAGAGTGTATAACAATAATACCTTAATAAAATAAATTTTAAAAAATGATTATGACTAAATCTTCTGATTATTGATGCTTTTAAAGCAGATTTAAATATGTAGTGGTGGTTACTATAGGGGGATGGCAGAGGGAATGAGGGAAATAGGTGAGGGGGAAAAAAAGTAGTGAGAATGTTTGGTACCTTGATCTGGGTGATGATTACATTACATACACCAAAATTCATCAAGCTGTACACTTAAGATTTGTGCATTTTATAGCATGTACCTCAATATAAAGAGAAATTTTTAATTAAAAACTAAAGTTGGTTTTAACAAAGTTTAATAATAAAGAAAGGAAGTAATATGAAAAAAATTGTAGTGGAAGGCACTTTTAGATTGTAGAAATTACACTTAGCTTTTGCTCCATATGACCTAGAAGAATGTACTTTAAAAGCCAGTGGCCTATAGTCTAACTGAAGTTTTGGCAACAGATAGGGTCAACTAGAGGCTATAGAATATTTATAGTTTTTACTGAGAATGACAAATTCACTTGGTGCCTTATACCAATTAAATAATTTCTAATGTATGAAAATCCCAAGGGCAAAAAACAAATGTTTTCTTCAATGATTCATCTCAAAATTATTTCATACTTACAAGGGATATTAACTGAAAATATGTAGAATCTTAGAAATATTATCATTAGTAAAGCCTCTTCTGATTTCTTATTCATTGACTTACACAGATGCTCATTAATTTCCAAATCTTAATACTAATTTAATTCCATAGTTGGGAATAGAGACAATACTGAAATATTAGTAATCTCCATTTAAATTAAAAAACAAACTGTTGATTAGGGAAGAGTCAAAATTTTAAATACAACTGATTTTTCTACTCACAGAGTTTAATTTACCAGTAACTACAAAGCCTTTAGTTATTTTCATATGTAAACACAAAAATACCCTCACCTTCTAAACATTCCTTCTTATTGTCTAGTTTCTCGTGGGCTTTTGCACGTCTAAACAGAGCTTTCACATATTTGGGATTAAGTTCAACAGCCTTTGTACAATCTTGTGCCACCTCTTTCCATTTTTGCTGTAATTGAAAGTATTAAAAGAAGTCAAACTAAAGGAAGCACTGTTTTTAACAGAAATCAGTTTTCCAAACTTCATGGACTATTAAGAATCCCACAGTAGAAAAAAAAATATCACCAATACATACAAAGAGTTAATACCCACTATACATTAAAATAGTTTATGTAAATATCTGTAATAACAGTAAGCAACCTGATTTTTTTTTAATTGGCAAAGGACATACTTAGGCCACCTTTCTACCACCAAATCTACAAACCTACCTAAGTCTATATAATCTCTTTTTCTCCTATTCAAACTAAGGAGGTGCCTCTCTCCATCAAAAGCCAACCCTCCGTTTGTGATCTAGATCCACACTCTCCCGACTTGACTTCACTCTGTTAGCTCTCCTCATTCTGCATCAATCTATTTCTCTACTGATTCATACCCATAAGCATAGAAATGCATGCTCTAGTATTTTCCATCTTTTAAAAACCCTCCTTTGATACCTTAATTCTCTGCAGCTACTACCCCATTTCTCAGCTCCTCTTTATTGCCAAACCTCCGAAGAGTTGCCATGCAACTTGATTTCCACTTACCTCACTGGCTGCTACTTCCCAGTTTCCTTCACTGAATTCTGCCTCTCTAACCCCATCTTGCACTGGAACCTCCAAGGCCTTCTCTCTTCTCTCTCCCGAGGTGATCACATCTATTGTCCTGACATGATAGAACATCTAAAATCTGATGACTCCCAAATTTATCTCTTTAACCTAAACTACTCTCTTAAAAGAGATACTTTTCAATTCAACTTCTACTTAGCTGCCTACCCCTTCCTTACCCCACTGATATTAAAACTCTTGTTCTTCTTTATCCTTCATTTCTAGAGCAACAGAAAGCTGTTTTCAGAAGAGAAGCTTTCCTTCATGTCTCACCAAGTCCATTACAATACCCTTCATTTTGTCTACCTCCACTCTTGCCTCCTTCAAATATATTCTTTACAGAACAGTGAGAGCAGTATTAGATGTGTTCCTGCCCTACTTAAAACCCTTAAGTATTTCCCATTACACTCAGAATTAAATCCATACTCCTTACCACTGCAAGGCTTTGTGTCATTTGGTTTCTGATACTGCTTCAATTTTATCTCTCTATACCCCAGTATTCTTTATACATTTTTAAACACACCAAACTCTTTCCTGCCTCAAAAAAATTATACCTACCATGTCCTCCATTTAATACTCTCTTTAATACTCACTATTTTATGCACCAACTCCATCTCCAGTAATTCCTCTATTACAGAATCATGTGCTTCTTCAAAGCATTTATCAAAAATGTCTTTTAATAGTTCAGTTTTGCTATCCTTGAGTTCTATGCACAACCGTTTGCTTTTATAAAGCCGGCTCCTACCATAGTAACCCTCCACATATGAAAGTCAGTAAAATTTGGCTGAATAAATGCAGAGAATACAAATGTCCAATAATCATAGAAAATGATGGTCAACTTAGCTAACATCTCAAAAAATGCAAGCTAAAACAATAAGAGAGAGTATTTTTCTCCTACTAGAGTGGCAGCTATTATTCATACTGGTAGTAGTCCTGAGAATACTGGAAGACAATCATACTCTATATATTATAATTGGGTATATGTACTGATACTATCTCTCTGTATTTCCATTTCTAGAATTTTATTGTAATATTTTATCCCCCCACAAAAGTATATAAAAAAATACTTAAAAATATTTACTGCAACACTGAATGCATTAGAGAAAATAGGAAATAGTCCAAATGTTTATCAATAGGAATATGTTTTCCATTATACAACTTTACAACAGTTACTACATACAGCCTTTTGAAAGAATGAAACAGATCTGTGTGTGCTATTAAAAGCTGTCCAAGATATAGTGGCAACTGAAAAAATATGGTGCAAACAATATGTTTAATAGGAATTCATCTATGGCCTTCTTCCCTCCATATATGCCACTATTACATATATAGAGACAAAAAATGGAAGCATTTGCTTCAAACTGTTGAGGAGGATGGCATCACCAGAAACTTTATCTGGATTATTTTATTATACATATAACTTTGGATTATACTTTTAACAACCAGAATTAAAATTTCTTCTTGGAAAGTTAGTTATGTAATTAAAGGATATAAAAACAAAGCAATAATTCCTGTAATTACATTCAAAATAATTATTACTTATTTGAGTGGCATTAACTGAAACATTATGCAAATAAAGAGAAACAAAAAGAACAGAAAAAACCTAGGATACATACCAACTGTTCAAAGGCTGCAGCTCTGTTTTGATAAAATGTAGAAAGGTCAGCATTCTTCTCTATGGGGCACAAACTGATAGCCTCAGTATAGCACTGAATAGCTTGTTCATATTTTCCCGCTTTAAAATATTTGTTGCCTTTGTTCTTGGCTGCTTGGGCTCTATCAAGGGAGTTCTGAAATGAGAGGAGACAATTATTAAACACTTGTTGATACTCAGGAATATACTCAGATTGAAGTGATTAAATGATTAACTGACAAAGATGGGAAGGTAGAATGGCTATGTACAAGGCAAGTCGTTTCATGTAAGTGTCTTCATCAGGAGGATTGCTAAACCAAAGGGTTTATATAGTTTTAATTTTAAAAACACTCAAGACTTTAAAAAAAAAACTAGTGCTTTAAAGCACCACTTTCCCACCATTCCTGCCAGCAAGAGATAGGACGGTGGTGTTTAAATTTTTGTCAGTCTAATGGGTATAACACAATAGTTCTCAATTGGGTGATTTTTCCTGCTAGGGTACATTTTTCAATGTCTAGAGAAATTTTTGATTGTCAGAACTGGGGGTGGGGAAGGGGGTGCTACTGGTGTCTAGTGGGTAAACACCAGGAATGCTGCTAACATTCTACAATGCACAGGACAGCCTTCCCCAAAATAAAGAATTTTCAGATCCAAAATGTCAATAGTGCCAAGGCTGAAAAACCCTGGTAGAAAGTAATATTCAATATTATTATACTTTGCATTTTTCTATTAATGAAATTAGAAAATCTTTTCATGTTTACTGGCCCTGTGGCTTCCTTGTTCTGAAAAACTACTTATCCATGGGTGTTGCGATTTTTCTATTAGGCTGTTAGTGAACATGCAGGATAGATACTAGAAGCACTTCGCCATCTCCATTAGAACTGTTATCCAAAATTACTCCTTGCTCATCAATAAAGGTAAGTGTTTTTTGCACTCTTATCTTTGTCTCAGAGCCTGCCTCGTGGAAGACCCAACTTACACATTTCATGTGTACAATATGGAAGAGCTGGTAGTTAAAACCCACTGGGGACAGTTGTGAATATTTCAATTAATATTTAAAAGGCAACTTTGTAGACAAATCTGGTTATCCAGGTTCTAGCTACTAGGTCCAAGAGCTTTGTGGCATGTTCTAGCCCAAAACTTTATTGTCAACACCATCCAGCTTTAACAAACATGTGATTATGAAAGAATCCATGTATCTCCAACAGGTAAGCACTGGCAAAGCAGAAGAAGTACCCCCACAAATAGTTTAAGCTAAGTTAATTAGGACCCAGGGCACCTCAGTCACAAAGAGATGAGACGACAACACTTTTTCTATTGGCTCTTTTCTCCCTTACTCTTCATTTTTCTTTGCTCCTTTTTCCTTCTTATTTATCTCTTTTCCTTTTCCATAGCTATTTTTTTTTTTGAGAGGGCATCTCTCATATTTATTGATCAAATGGTTGTTAACAACAATAAAATTCTGTATAGGGGACTCAATGCACAATCATTAATCAACCCCAAGCCCAACTCTCAACAGTCTCCAATCTTCTGAAGCACAACAAACAAGCTCTTACATGGTGAACAAATTCTTACATAGTGAATAAGTTCTTACATGGTGAACAGTGCAAGGGCAGTCATCACAGAAACTTTCGGTCCCGATCACGCATTATGAACTATAAACAATCAGGTCAAATATGAATATTCGTTTGATTTTTATACTTGATTTATATGTGAATCCCACATTTCTCCCCCATTATTATTATTATCATTATTATTATTTTTAACAAAATGCTGAAGTGGTAGGCAGATGCAAGATAAAGGCAGAAAACATAGTTCAGTGCTGTAAGAGGGCAAATGTAGATGATCAGGTGTGTGCCCACAGACCAAGCACTAATCCAAGCCACACAAGTAGCCATAGCTATTTTTATAAAATACAGAGTATAAAGGAGGACTTGTAGGAAACTCCAAGTTCAGAATATCGAATAATTTAAGCCACACATTGTCAACAAGGCACATGCATATTGTAAAACTAGGATGTGGAAGAACGAAAGAACCCAAATAAAGCACAAAAAAATTAACAGATGAACATAAAATCTTCCACTTGTCAACAGCTTGAATCATCTTCCAAAAACTTTGACAGTGAAAACTCTTGGCATAAAACATCCATAAAAGAAGACAACTAAGAATCTCTTATGCAGCTGTGGATTGGGGTGGTGGGTGAGACTGTCAAGTTGACTGCTGGAAAACTGCAGTTGAAGCAACCTCAACAGTCCTACTACTCCACTGAGAGAAGAAGTCAGACTGGAGTAGGGCTGTGTCATCCAGAAGAAGTGAAGATCCCCCTACACCAAAGAGACAAATGACAGGCATACCTTGACTGTCTTCCAAGACACATTGTCAAAAATTCCTAGCATAAAGGAGAATTAATACCATTAGAGGCCTCCAAATAGAAAACTAGTATTTGAAAAAGTAGGATAAACCAAACAGAAAATTTAACATCAGAGGAATGACAGGCTATCTTTTTTTTTTTAAAGGCTGCTTTTAAAGAGCACCAACAAACATCTTGAAAATTAAAAAGGGTTATTATAATTAATTCAATGGATGGACTGTATATTAGAATGGGCATTACTGACATATACTGTATATTAGAATATACTGTATATTATATATACAGTATAATATACTGTATATTAGAATGGGCATTACTGACAAATTAACAAGTAGAAGGTGGAGCCAAATAAGTCTGTCAATGAAGCGCAATGAAAACAGAATAGGCAGATAAGTTTGGAGGAAAAGTTAAATGACACGGAGTAAAAATCCTGAAGTTCCAGCATCCATCTATCTATCTGAAGTTTAGAAGGAAAGGCACAGAAAGGAGTGTCTAAGGAAATATTAGAAATTCTTGGAGTTGAAGAAAAATGCCGCATATTTTTTGACATATCCTGGAATTTCACAACAAAAATCCTGCAAGTTTTTATGGAAAAGCAATTAAACTGGGATCAGACTGTCACCAACATTATGTATTAAAAAAACAAGTAGCAATCTAAAAGTTCTTTAGAAAGATTATCTTGAATGTAAAATCTTATACCTAGCCAAACTAGCTTTTAAGCTTGAACACAAGAGCAGCAATGTAGATGGTACAACTTACTACTAAAAATAAATCCTGAAGCAGGGCAGAAATCAAAACAACAAGCAGGAAGAAGGTAAAGGAAACAAAAAAGCAGGGTACATATGGCAGGAATCATCAAACATGTCAATAACAACAATAAATGTGGCATAAACCTCCATATTAAGAAATTTTCAAACTATTTAAAGAAAAAATTACACACCGCCTATAGGGCATGACTTAAAATCACAGGTTAAAAAAAGAATGTAAAAGAGTTACAGAAGGAAAATACTAACAAAAAGAAGTCAGTATCAGACAAAGTATCATTAAAAGCCTCAGTACACAGGACAATTTTATAGATAAAAGTTGCAATCCATCAAGAAAACATTATTACAAAGCTTCATGTGTCTAATAAAACTTCAAGATGATAAAACCCTATTATTTTTACATTAAATATAAAGAAAAGAAAAACATTCTTTTGCTTTTTTGCAAAAAGTTTACAATGTTTCTAAATCACTGAGATTAAGACTAATAAATACCATGAAATGCCAATGACTGTTTATATAAAAAATACTCTGGCATATTAAATGCATGGGAGAAATATGTTTGACTACAAACACTTAAGATTTATTTAGTATTTTTACTGAAGATTTGCAGATTAAATAAAAGAACATTATCTGGGCAGAGTAACAACCTTGCTTCATTAGCACAACAGGCAATGAACATTTTCCTATCTACTAGCAGTTTAAGGCTAAATGATTATCACACAAAATACAAAAGGAGAGGCAATCATTGCGGGCAGACAAGGTAAAAGAACAGAGAGAAATCTGGAGATAAAGAACACAAGGCTTCCTCTCCGAAGAAAGATGGATATTTGTTAATTTTATTCAGCAAAGTATAAATCAACCTAAAACCAACTGAACCTTGAAATATGCTATTTTCCTCCACTTAGTCAAGTTTTATAATGGCTTCCTTTTAAAAATTACAAATTCTTTAACTCCAAGGCCAAATCAGAGTCTGGTTAATTTCCTTGTTATTGTACTATGGGAAAAAAAAATGATGCTCTGACTGACACTGTGCGGAAAAGGATCAAATTACACAGGCAAATCACCAAATTCCAAATGTTCTGCCATTGCTCCTTCACTGCCACTCCAGAAAGTAAGCAAACTCTATTTTCAGACAGCATGTTCAATTAATATCCTTACCACCTTTACTCACTGCTCTCCATGCCTCCATTACTTTTGGTCCAACCACTTCCCTTCATTAATAAAAATGCAGAGAATGAATACCATCACTAAAGAGGCAATATAGAAAAGTTAATTATTTTGGCCAACTGATGAAATTTAGGACAAAAAGCTGTTTAGCATACCAGCTTGTCAATCCGCAACAGCTTTCTGCTATATCATAAACTAGACCCTATTTTCACAAGCTTTGAGGCCAAGACCAGGCAGAAATTAAATGCATTAGAAGAAAAAGTTTAAATTAGAAAATACACAACTATCAATTCTTTATAAGGGATTTTAATTCCACCCTTCAAGAATCCTTTGCATTGCTTTTCACTTACTTCACCAGCCTCAGTCTACTTTCTCAAGAATTAAAGGTTGAAATTGGAAAACAGGACGAAGGACAGTTTTGAAAGCATATTTTAAAGATGAGAAATTAAGACACTAGAATCTAAAATACAAGGAGAACAGCCTGAAATGCTAGTTACCTTTTCATGTGGTCTATTTGCATATCTCAAATCTACTAAGAAGATTAAAAAAACTACAAAGCCATTTTTGTTACTGGAAATCACTTTTAGTTTTGTTAGTCTTTCTACGGTTCTGAACACTCCATAATACTTTACATTAAAATTCTGTGAAATGCATCTTTCCCCTACATTTCTTACAACAAATTAGTTTCTCATGATCTGAAAGATCTTTTTAACAAGCTGAATTATGTCATTCCCTGGTCAAAATCCTCCAACTTCCAAACTCATAACTTCATACTTCCTTTAAGCCACTCTAGCCACTCTTGCTACTCTAGCAGGTCAAAAATACTAAATTTCTTCCTTAAAAAAAAAGTTTGAA